CATTTGTTTAATAATTCGAAGGTAACAATCTACTCCTTCTCTAGAATTACAAAAACAAAAATAAAAAAACCCCAACAAGTTGGCCTCTTGCTTTCCTACTTAGGGAACAAGTATACTGAAGAACCAGTCTTGTTGTCTAATGATCCAAGAACCTAAACTTTGAATTTCATTACTGTTATGATTCCAGATCCCACCAGAGTCTCTTATCAAATGTGGCCTCATTAAGCATAAGAGGCAATGCACTTCTCTGTGAAATTGTGCTGAGCGAACTGGTAGCGCACCAGAGCCGAAATGAAATATAATTATTTTGAATCTGTTCCTATTGGACTGCAGTTACCCATCACAGACAGATATTAACACATGAAGACTGCCTGTGAATCCTCTTCTATTTATCTAAGCATTATCCTGAGTAAGAAAACCAAATACCAAGCTTACTCAAGGAGGCTTCTGTCAAAATATGAGATAACTGTGTAATCCTGTGTTAAGTAAGTTACTGCTACAACTAACCCAATAGATATTTTTTAACTCCTCTGTTGAAGATGGAACTGTTCATATATAGGCCTTTCAAAATGTGACCTGTGCTTTTGGATAGCAAGGAATTTTGCAAATATATTTATAACCTTGGAAAAAGAGAATACACATTGTCTTTTGATAATAATTGCTAGCATTGTTATACCAGTGTTGTGTATATGTTAACAATTCATTTAATGTTTTTACAGAGGAGAAAATTACAGTACAGTGTGGTTACACAATTTACCCAAGATACCATCACTAGTTACAGACACAACTGGAGCCATAAGCAGAAAATCTAGATGAGTCTGTGGTTGTAACCACGAATTATTATTTTTTCTCATTTTACTCTAAATTTTATCAGTTTCCTTAGGCAGAGAGAGAAATAAGCACTGAATACGGAGGCTTAACACCGCAGAATACATCTTATCTAGTGATATTTATGTCTCATTTTGTTTCTCAGTGAGAAAAATATGATATCAAGCACAACTCAGCTTTAAAATAGGACAAAGGAGTTATAAAGTGGTTATAAAATTTTCCTGCAGAGATCTGGAGACGTTAATGAAAGCAGGAACAGGTACAAGCTTTGGAGTCTGCGTTCTTGGCTAAAGCCACTAGAAAATGTGTCTTCCCAGTGACAGCTAGTAGTGGCGGAGGGAACAGAAATAACCAGGAGACAATTAGTGATTCCAGAAAGAAGTGACAGAACATGAGATGCTTGGGGGTAAAAGTGGGCTGCTGGGATCTGCATCTGATTGTAGCTTCACTGACAAGCTCAACTCAAAACACAGCTAAGGGTAAATTTTAAATGGTGTTTCAATAGGATTTTACTATTCTACCTGAGTTCCTAGGATCTACTGTTATAAATTTAGCCCACATTTTCCATCTCTGAAGTTTTTTTTTTTTTTGAGAAGCAAAAGATACTTGGGCAAAATTACAAACTCTTCCCTGGACTTACTGGGAAGCAGAGCACTTCTGTGTTTTATTGAATTGAAATTATACTATTCTTTTGATATCAGGCGCATTCACTATTGGATAGACACTTCATATGTAAAACAAGTTAAATACCAACTAAAGAGAAAAATAAAAGCCATTTATAATCTTGCAGTTCAGAAACTATCAGTTAACATCTTTCAAAATAGTTAAATGTATAGTTATTAGAACTTTGAGAATCAATGCAAGTACAATTTTAAATCTTATAGTTCGCTTAGTGTGACTGTTTCTCTAGGTCATTACTTATTTTTAAATTTCACATTTGAAATATCATTCAAGGGTGGATAGTAGACCTTTCTACACTGTACCATAATTTCTTCTATTTGCCTCTACTGCTGGATAACTAGATTCTTTGTAGATGTTCCCTATTTTACAAAAGATATATTTTAATATATGAATCTTTGAATTTTAAAAATTATTTTTATTTTGTGCTTTTTATGATAGGCACTTATTTTGAAAGATTGTACACTGTAAAATAGAACCTTTAATATATATTACAAACCATTCTACATAAATGTCTTATCTTTTTTTAGTTTTATCCTCTGTGTCAAATGATGTCTGTTTCTCCAAATCCTCACAAACATTAAAAATATCACTCAACATTTCTTGATTAATTTAACAGATGAAGTCTCAAAACATATTCAATTCCTGTTTTTTAAATGTTTGTCATTGCTATTCCCAATTTTGTAAATCAACTATTTATATCCTTTGATCCTTTTAAAGATCTAAAATATTAAAGAAGTGTTTTCTAATGTATGTTATGATCAAATTGTTGGGAATTCTGAAAATTGGTCAAAACAAAAACATTCTAAATGTCAATCTACTTCACAAGGAACTTAGTCATCTTACTTTATTAAAGCTCAGCAAGACTATGTTTATGAGAAGTCTAGAAAGAGAACAAATAAAGTGTCTTATCAAAGGTGTTATATTATAAACAGGGCAGAATTATCCTTACAGTTTTGGAGGCAGAGAAAATTTTCTGTGTACACAGACCTCTTCCTGAGTCTCATTATTTTACTATAAGTGTATAATAATTCATTACTTCTGAATTCACATAATGAATTATAAGAACTTGAAAGAGTGTGTAAGGAAACAGTTACATAAATATTGTCAAATATCCTCTCCATGTTCAACAACTCTGGGTTAAGCAGTCTAATACCTTCCTCAACCCTAGTCATCAAATTAGCTTTCAATTTGTTTGACTAGATGCACAATTTTGAGGATGTGCATTTTCTTTGAACATTTTTCCCTCAATCCTCTGGTGTCTCTTTTCCTTAAACAAAGGGCACAAGTTTGCTTAGCTGCGAAATTTGTCTGTACTTTTCAGAAATTAATGTGAATCTTTCTAAGTCTGAGAACAATAGTTCTATTTGGCTTACTTCCACTGGTCTGCAGGGAAAAAAAGGTACAAACTGTAAAGAGAGTAACGATTTGTAGAAATCTGCAGGAGGTCTTGGTCCTTGGTCCAGGAGTACTACTGCTGACAATTACACAAATAGTGCTCCTATGCAATTATCCCAGCAATAACCAATAGCAAGCAGAAATTATAGATTCCTGATGCCATTTATGCCCAGAAGATTCTGTACAGCACTTTGTTTGATTCAAAATGGCTACCTTTATTTTTTCTCCCTTTAAAGAAGAGAATCAGTTGACTCCTTAGGTGAATATAATTTTCTTCCATCTAGTTTTAAATAGCATTAGCACAGCCATCAGGTGGTAGGGTGAAAGCTAAACATGTCTTCTCTTGGAGGCATAAATGACTAAAATACTAGGTAATGTGGATACCATCTCCCTGGTTTTTGCACTTTAAATGGCATTAACCTTATGCTGTGTAGAGTTATGATTTCTTAAACTGTTTTCTCTGTACAATGGGCAATCAGTTCCACAATTTAAAAATATGCTCCCTGCTGTCAAGTTTTCCTGTTGGCTTTGAGGACACAGAAAAAAATTAATTCATTTTGTTTTTTCATTTTTGTATGATTACTACATTGTATTTATTTCCACAAGTCCTTCAATGTTACCATTCAACTACCTGTAATTGAAAATTGCTTGTGTTTACTGTTTGGCCAGGAGGTTAAATTTCAGGATATCGTATAATATATTTTAGGCAAATCAAATTGAAGTCTTCTTTCTTTATTTTTTTAATTTTAAAGATGCAAGTATTAATAGCCATGAACGGAACATATTGAAAGTAATAGCTTATAGGTTATTAATAAACCAGGCAGCCCTTTTAACAAAAACTAAACATAACTGCAAAATAGAGGGAGGAAAAAAATCACATGTACACCAAGGCCCCTCAAAATACCCCCTCCTACTAAAAAAATGGCTACATGCAAAGAGAAAGTGGAAAGTAGTTTTAGTGAAGCTCCTTTTGGAATTTGTACAGATTCTTTTTGACTGAAAAAATGAACAGACTGGACAAACAAATTTATTGCTCCACCTTTAATCCATTGAGTGGAAAGTGGATTCCAGTGAGCAAATACATTGTGTCTTCGTTGAGGTTTAAAAAGCTGACATTTCAAAAGATTGGAAATTTAGAAGCTTTTAATAAAATGTTTCATATTTTTTTGAAGGAAGTGGTGATATTTTTGCTTATTTATCTATTAGAAAAACAAAAATGTTCTGTTAATTTTCTATGCTTAAATGATGGAGCAGATATTGCCTGATATAATCAACAAATGCTTGTTGGAGTCAACATTATTTGACATAGTTGTTTTCCTGAAGCCCAGTTGAGTTCCATGATGGTTTGGCTTAATGGGATTATACTCAGGTTTTAGTCATAAACCATGATGTATTTTTAGAGTAATGGGTTGCTCAGGAAAATTTTCACATAGTGATTTGGCATATATGGCAGTACAACTCAGGATTGATCTGTCCACCCAAAACTCTTTCTGTCTTTAAGTCCTTCAATTAGCTTATTCCCATGGATTTAATTACAAAGTCACCAAAACACATCAGGCTAAGTTGTTCAAAGAAGGGAATTAACCATTTGAGTCTTTACTGACTAAATCATTTGTTCTGTTTGATAAGGACCACAAAGTTTATAGATCCCTCCCAGTTGATAACTGTTACTAATTCTAAATCATCACATAGCTCTGGAATGAGTGTTGGATTCCCTGCAGTACAGGGAAAACTTTTAAACTATGCTTATTTTTCAAACACATTTCTCATAAGAATTTTTTTATTACATGTGGAATTTAGTATAAAATCCTAATGAATTGAAATGGTTGTATCAATGTACACAGTGTGACTTTGATTTAAACAGACTGTCCACAGTGTGGGGATCTATGCTTATAAAGAACTAAAATCTTGTTAAGAACTAAAATCTTGATCCCCCCAAAATGGAATAACTCTAAGAACTCATAAAACAATGAAAGAAAACACACAGAAATCAAATAAGATGGATAAATGTTTAATATTACTTAGGTGTTAGCCTTCAGGCATTTAGGATGCAGTGAGGTCATTCAGAATACAATAATGGCAGTGGAAGTCCTCATTCCAATGAAACAGATGTGATCCAAACCTGGATGCTCTCATCAGAGGGGCAGTGATGTGAACCATATGCTGTGAGCTCAACCCGCATCTGTCAGGATGAGCCCCTTAGTGCTTCGGCTTTGAACCTGAGGCTGCTGTGCGTCCAGGGGTTGGACTCATGCTTGGGTCTGTTTGGGTAAGTGAATGAGCAGCAGTCCTCAGTACCCTAACTCATGATACAAAAATACATTTTCATAGAAAAGCTATTATTCTTGTAATAACACATTGTTTGTGTTTTCCTCATACTTCCACATCTTTATTCATGTTTACAACTTAGGCCAAACAGAACAGTGTTTAGATAAAAGGACTCTAGTGAGATCTGTTCTAGAAACAGAAAACGCATGATCTGTTTCCTATATTCTTTGTCTTTTCCAATTTCAAGTCCTTTGCTCTACAGACAAGCTCTGTGCTTGAAACAGTATAATCTGGGCACCATAACAATACTTTGTAACATTATGTGAAGGAAGATTTTAAGGATGTTAAAATACAGAAAAACAATCAAGACCATAGATTTTCTAACTCCAGTTTAAAGTTCTTTCTTGATAGCATTAGAAACCTAGGAGACATCAAACCAATGGGCATTTCCACCATCTTCCCATTTATGTGATTTTCCCTTCCTTTTCATCAAATGAAAAGACAGTGTGCAACTCAGACATGCTGGTGTTAAGAACCTGTTACTGGAATGGCCAGGAGTGAATACAGCACACTTGTTGGGGAATGTAACAAACAGCTGATGCAGCCTGCAGTCCAGTGGGAATTATTTTCTGCTCAGCACTCCATTGGTGGCTACATTTGTGAATCAACTAAAAGCAGCTTTTACTGATATGGTCACTTTGCTTTCATTTCCATTTTGAAGTGTGTCTCTTTGATGGGTGCGTAAGGAATCCACACAGACACTTCTGACAGAAGACACTGGGCAGAAGATATGACTGGATTTTGAGCAATCCTTCTATCACAAAAGTAAAGACACCGACTGCTGAGTAAAACACAGCAAGCCAGTTTGTAAAGAGACCAAGAATTGTGTGACAGGAGGACCTGAGTCACTGTTCAGGCTGCCTGTCTTTGAGGGCTGGAGAGAAGCTTTCTGTCTCACAGGAGAAAAGAAAAACTTTCCCAAGGCCAAAGCACACCAGGATGTAAAAGCTTAGAGTAGAGATTTGTTGACCTCTTATTGCAATCACCAGAACCTCATTTCTTTGTTCTTCTTGTCTAGGACCTTCTCCTAGAATTTAGGTAGTCTCCTCTACAGATCTTGTGTTGGACTTGTTCATTACTAGTCTGAACCTTTGCTTTTTCCGTTTCTTACTTATAGTGTATAGTCTCTGCCTGCTGTGTGTCTATTCAATGTTTTCACTCTCCTTCAAAAGTTGGGCTTAAATCTAGTTCTTTGGGCATTATTTCATAACTAAACGGTTCCTGGGTCCTTGCTCAGCCTTTCATCTGTATTTAGAACAAATGAGACTGATTTAGGCTACTGTAATTTGCATTGGAGTAAATATTTGGTAGCCTTATGGTTGGGTACTGATACACATGAGTAGTCATGCTCTCCAATTGTACTCCAGGCTCTTGAGGGAAAGAACATGTTGCTTACACTATGTTTTCACCCCACCTCCCTGTATCCAGAATGGGCTGGTAACCGGCACACAGCAGGTACTTAGTACAAGCTATGGCTGTATAAACAAAGGTCTTTATGATGGGCCTGCTCAGGGAAGATGAACATCAGGAGTGTGGAAGAGAGTGGCTGAGTCACACGCTGTATTCCGAGTGCTGCTGCTTAAGCAACTAACTCTGAATGCAGCGACTTGGGTATAACAATAATTTGCTAGGTAGCAGGATTTTCTCTGTTCTACATGGCCTCTTCTCGAGTCTCTCTGGATCTACTTGGTGAATGAGTTCTAAGAGTGTACCAAAAGGTAGAAAGTAAGAGCTAACAGGCTGGTTAAAGGCTGTCTCTAGAATTAATATCACATTGCTTCATTAGAAGCAAAATCTACCTCTTTATGCGGGAGTGGTATGGCTACCTTGCAGAAAACCACATGTACTTTGAACAAATTTAGAAAATAAAGACTACTGCATGTTGTCTCACCAATGAAACTACACAATGCCACATTATATAAGGGAGGAAGCCTCTCAGTAGCGATGGCAGTTAATATTTATATAGTACTTGCTCACTTTGTGTCTGACACAGGGATAAAAGGATTACACACACTCTCTCGCCTGATTCTCACAATTTAGGAGTTGAGGATTCATCACTGCCCCCATTTATAGAGGAAGCAACTGAGATACAAATAGGTAGTGTAGGTTACTCAAGTTCTTAACTTTTAAATGGTGGAGGCAGGATATGAGCTAAAGCAGCCTAATGTCCCCATCCAGTCTTCTCCCTCCTGTCTCCTGTTCAGTGGTGACACAGTACAGAATAAAATAAATACCAGCATCCATTTGACTAGAGCTTACAACCTTACAAATCTCAGTTTGACCCAATGTATATGCTCATGGAACCCTTACCCCAAACCTTTGATTATTATATAGCATAATTTGTGTGTGTCTCCTTGATTTTTATCATAATCTTAAAAACGGTGTGTATTAGAAATGCTTCCATTCTAAGAAACGTGGTTAGTCTCCCTGTTTTTCAGGAAAACTTAGTCTTAAATGTCTTGTAAGATCGATTAATACCTTTCTTTAAAGCCTTCAGAAGTAGGGTTGATAGGATGACGAGGATATACTGTCTTTAGGGCTCATGAGAGATTTGGTCAAAAATATTTTGCATTCTTTGTAATCTTGGAGAAATTGCTGACCTGTCCCTTCACAGCCTGATTTCTTGGTTTGTATATCAGAGCTAATGACAGCCATCTTTAAGGGTTTTGAGAATAAAATAATATACTATGTGCAATGTACCCAGAAGTAATATGTTTTCATTCAGTGCTATTTCTTTTAATGGTGTTGTGAGTATTGCACAGAACTGATACATAAAAACATTTCCTTTGCAAGCAGCTACCTTCTAAAGGTGGAGCAAATCCTCAGTGAAATCCAGACACCGAATCTCTTATATACAACTACATAAAATTTCCAGTTCTCTTCTTAGTATTCAGTGTCAGGCTAGGCCCCATACCTTTCTTCCTGTGCAAAATATTCTGTAGATTTAGTACAAGTGGAGGGATATAGAAAATTCAATCCAGTCATTTGCCTTTTCATTTTCTGATGATTCTTCCCAGTTCATGTCCAGCTTTGAGTGAACTTAAGCTCTTCTTTGCAGACCACAAACCTTCCCTCTCCACAGTCCCATGTAAAAAGTATAGCTCAAGGTGCTTCAGCCCTGGATTAGGGCTTGTTATGAAAATTTCTCTCCTGCTGTCCCTAATTTGAAATTTTCTTAAGAGAGCATGGGAGAGATTTTCATTTGGAATTTACATCTGAGCAATATGTTCATTTTGAATTCTTAAGCTTTACATGCATTCTTTATTACCAACTTTCAAGAGGAAGAATTTTAATCATTTCATTTGTTTACTCTAACTGACAAATTTTATTGTGTGTGTGTGTGTGTGTGTGTGTGTGTGTGCGCGCGCGCGCACGTGTGTGTGTGTCACAGAGCATGTATGAAAAAGTCTTCATGTGAGCTGAGTAATTCTCTCAATTGGCTAATGGACACCCTGATAGACTTGAGACCTCAGAGCTGCTGGAGATTGGAAGAGGAGGTCAAAGGAATATAAAACACATTGATTTATTTTATACGTCTGGAAGACAAGAGAACTGATAACATCAGTTATTGGGAATCCTATCTCAATGCTTTCCGTGAGGTCTCTCTCTTTCCCTTTGCTTGGGGAGGTAACCTACGAGTAACTTTGTTACTTTAAAACTTTAAAAGTGGCTCCATACTACGCAGGATTCTTACATCTCACAGGTTCAAATCTTCTATGAACCCAACCCCTTTCTCTTTCTTGCTTCCTTCTTTTCAACCAAAAATTTTTTAGGGGACTCAACTGAGAGACATTAAAATGATTTTTAATTTTATTTTGAGATAAGGCCTCACTAAGTTCCCCCGGCTGGTCTCAAATATGTGATTCTCGCGCCTTAGCTTCTGAGAGTGTCGCCGAGCCCTTTCCTTTTAGGTGACTTTACTCATTTTTAGTAACCCCCTCCTTTTCTCCATGCTTTTTCATTAAGTTTCACCAGCCTATAATAGATTTCAAAGTGTATTCTAGGAAGAATGGATGATTTCAATTTTTCAGGTTCCTTGCTTGTTTTCTAATGACTGTTTCCTGTTTTGTTGACTATTCTGCATTGTGTTTTTTTTTTTAAAAAATTGCCCAATTTTAGGGATATAGTGAAGTGCAAGGACACATAAAAAAACATTGAGATATTGATTACATCTTAATATTGGGAACTGATTTTAGAACATTAATCTTAAAAAAAGAAAAATTTGTTTAAAAAAAGGTGTATTTTTTAATACACCCTTTCACCTCCTGTGTGATTTAAGTAATCTGTATGTATAAGTATCCTGAAATTAACAAGCCAGGCCTTTCTTTTAGAGATGCTAATTAACATTCACAAACACAGGTCTCATTATTTGGATTCTACAGTTTAGTAAAAATATAAATTCCTTTGGTTCTCAATTTCTTCACAATTCCTTATTAAGATACAATGACTAACACTGAGAATATGAACTTTTGTCTCTTAGTTTGTTTACCTAAAATTTTCAGCAGTTAAGTCCATAGGTAGTACATGGGCTTTATTCCCTCAGGTAGATACTATTAATCTGTTTGGATAAAGAGCTTGAACTGGATCCAGTGCATAGGCAGAACAGACTATAGACTCTCTAAGTTTCTGTCCGCATATTTTCCCTCCTAATTTTTCTTCCAGATGATGCTACAGAAATATGGATTTCAATCATAGAAACTCAAATATGCCACTGAAAACAGAATAAGTCATTGTGAAAACGGAATAGCATGCTGGGCCAGTTCTCAACCTACTTGCCAACTCTGATGTATTTGTAGGCGTTTCTGGATGGCTTGGTTTTCTGAAATCATGAGTAGATTCGTGTAAAACTTGGCTGGAATTGATTAGTAGCATCTGTAGAGGAAAAGGGAGGGACTGTAATGGGAGAGACCTGTATGGACCCCCTGTATTATAGTCATTGCTTAGTGAAAAAACAAAGGGCTCCCTTATATTTTGGTTCCTCAGCTGCAAAACAGAGTCTACTTGAAAGGTCAGTGTAATTAATTTCTGAACATCTTGAACACCCACTTGAGTACACATAATAGAGTCAGGTCATATAGAAAATAATAGAAAATGTAGAAATCTAGCTTTATCAAAAGATTACAAGTTGTATCATTTGATCCCTCAGACCCAACTTTCTCATTTTATGAAACTAAAGACAAAGACCTGCTTTATTCTGCTGCAGTGGATACCTTTAAGACTCCTGACATTTAAAAACCAGAGAGGCTGAACACTGACTCTCTGAAGAATGCGCTCTAATTCTGTAAAAAAGGTGGTCTAAATCTTTATGGCTATACTGAAGTGACACAGTGTGAGGGAGTACTCTGAAATCAGGGCTGCTTTTCCTTTCAGAAGCAGACACTTACCTGGGCCCAAGTTACCTCTGATGTGCTCTCCAATGGTAGGCTGTTGGCAAGTATTTATTACTCTCTGCAGTTAAATTCCTTTTCAGAGGCAGTGGGGCCCTGAGGGGATGTCAAACAGAGGGAGATGAGAGGAGTATGGGATGAGATGTCTTGTTCTATAACTTCCTTTCCCAGCTGTTACTTGATCTATTGGATCAGCTTTTCTCAACATCTCGTGTGTAACTTTCTGGCAGAGTTGTTGAATTATGTGCAGACACTTCCAGCAAGCTGCATAGGTCAGGGGGCTTTTCTCTGGCATTTAGCTCCCACATACTTGAACAAAACCTCAATTTGCTAGGGTTTTTAACACTAAAAGCTTGTTCTCCTCATCCGATTTTATTATTTCTTCCACACATTGTTATTCACAACACATCTGGCTGCAGGTTACAGCGTTTTGGCTGAGTTTCACTATGCTAACCTCTGTTACCTCTCCCAGGGTTTAGGAAACAGGCCCCTCTGGATCAAAATATTAATGATCGTAAGTACAGCAGTAATCCCTCTGCTTTTAAAGTAATGCAATTCCAAGCCGAAGGGCAGCAGCACCAATTAAAACAACGGGAATCCTATATATTCTACCAGTAGGGTACACAGATGCACATGCAGAGGCTCAGCTTGGCTCTGATCCTCATAACTGGATGCTTCCTCGTGCTTCAGTGTTCTGAGGCTCTAAATGAGAATAATGATTCCAGCAAGGAAATTCGGTTGGTGAAGGAGAGCCACTTAACAACTGCTGAGCTAAATGTTTGTGAAATTGCCCATTGGTTCATGGCAGTCTCGTTACTTCTTATGACACTCAGTTTTGGAGGTGAGGGAAGCCTGTGTGACTCTCTCTCTCAATTCCTCTTCAGTCCTCTGGGCTGTTTGCGGTAATTAGAATAGTGTATCAGGGAATAATAGTAAGTTTTATTTTTGACTCAGTTGCTACCTGAGAGACAGACTTTCCGCCTGAGACTTTTAGCCCGAGGGTGAAAATGAATGAGCGAAGATTACAAAATGGGTCGAGTCACACAGCGTAGGTAGCCTGCTGGCAGAAATAGATTCATGGACTGAATCTTGTGAGGCTGACTTCTCTGCCAGACTACTCCCTAACTCCAGGCAGATAGTCAAAAGCCTTCAGTTAGTAGAGGGCATAATGAAGTTTGGTAAAGGTCTATGAGTTCTCAACAGAAAAGAAAGAAAAAATAGAGAGCACAGGGCTGGAAAAAAATTATATTTATATAAAAACAATTGGTGCCAAAAAAATGAACCTACAGAAAATGATATACATAACAAAGATCAATGCATGACCCAAAGGATCAAAGCAATATACCATTAAAAACATTGTGTATGCTTAAGATATATAGCATGGTATTTTGGCATATTTATATATGGAAATTAAGAAATAATGGGATTAAAGACTCTAATGAAAGTTGCAATTAATGACACTTATTGGGACTCCAGGTGATATTCTAAGTGCTTGGGCACAAATCGACTTATGATCCCCATGACAGTGCTGTGAGGAAGGGAATACTTTTATTCCCATTTTTCAACTCAGAACTTGATGACACGTAAAATTCAAATTATTTGCTCAAAATTAGCCTTCTTTTCTTAATCACTGTACATGTACTTCAACGTCTTCCTAAGCGGCACAAAAGTTTTTACAAGAAAAACTAAAACAGTTGGACAGCCAGTATGGAAAATATTGGTCTTCAGAAGTCTGTAGGATTGAGCTAGAAGGGGGAGCTATGTTCATTTGAGGCAGATGAATAGTATTAATAAAAGTACTCCAGCAAAAGGGATGTCTTACTCAAGGAGACTGTTGTAAAACCATGTTTTTAAGTGGTGGATTCTTTTTCTTAATGTAATTGATGAATTTACTTTCCTTTGTCTCCATAACTCTCGATTTGGCCCTGCTAATAGTGAAATAATGAGTTTTCCTTTTTTAAACCATCTATTTCATGAATGTGATATTAAACCCCTATTTCTTTTTTTTTCAGCTTTAATTGAGTTTATTGGTACATTTTAGGGATACAGTACAGTTACATTCATTGTTGGGATCTTGTACCTCTCCATGACAAGTCTTGATTCTCATTTTTTCCCCTTGTCCCTGCCCTCCCTTCACCCCCTCCTCCCCTCCCCATCTACAAACACTCTATAAACCCCTATTTCTTAAATGTGATTCTTAATGATTTTTTAAAATCAATTTTATTGGTACATTTAAAGTATACACTGTAATGACATTCATCATTGGAAATTTGCACCTTTTCATAATCCATCTTGGTTCTTATTTTTCTCCCATTCCCCTGCCCTCCCTTCAACCCCTCCAACCCCTACAAAGACTTTGTTTCAACTTTTTCATTTTCTCATATTAATTTCATTCCCTTCTTTCCTTTCCCCTACCCATCTCATTTCTCCTTCCCTTTGACCGTTTTCTTCCTATTTCACATTATCTATTATATCTTTTAGTCCTCATTTACACTTTCAGTTTCTCGTACTAGAGAAACTATTCAGTATTTACATGTGTCCTATTTATTTCATTTAAGAGTGTCACCTCAATGTGCATCTATTTAGCTATAAATGTCTCTAACTTCTCATTCTTTATGGCTGAGTAGTATTCCATTTAAAAAAAACCACATTTTCTTTATTCAGTCTCCAGTTAATGGGCACTTGGGCTGTTTCCAAGTTTTAGCTACTACAAATTGTGCTGCTATGAACATGGGTGCACATATATTGCTGTGGTATGGTTCTTTTAGTTCTTTGGGGAAGATATCCAGCAGGGGAATAGCTGGGTTGAATGGGTCTTCTAATCTTAGTTCTTTGAGGTATCTGCATACTGATTTCCACAGTGGTTGCAGCAGTCTACTCTCCCACCAGCAGTGGAGTATTGTTCCTCTTTCCCCACAGCCCTGCCAGCATTTGTTATTGGTTGATTTCTTGATAGCAGCCATTCTTTCTGGGGTGAGGTAGAATCTCATTGTGTTTCGTTTGCATCTCTTGAATGACCAGTGATACTGAACTTTTTAAATATATTTATTTGCTATTTCTACTTCTTCGTCTGAAAAATGCCTGTTCATTTCCTAAGGATATTCTTAACATCCATTGTCTTAGTTACTTTCTCACTGGTGGGACAGAATACTCGATATCTCAAGTTAAAGGAGAGGTTTACTGTAGATAAAATTTCAGTCCTTAGTTGGCTGGACAAGGAAGGGTGGCATGACAGAGGGGCATCACAGAACAGCAATGGCCCATGGCGTGGCAGGCAGGAAATGGCCAGAAGTGAGCCTTCTTTTTCCTTTTATCCATTCTACAAGCCTACTAGCTCGTTGCCAGCCACACCCAAGGTAGGTCTTCTGTCTTCCTCAGTAAACCCATTCAGCCATCCCTAGAACTACACAAATTCATCAGCAGACTAATTCAGTTATCATGCAGTCTTAATCCAGTATCATACACCAGTGATTTAGTTACCACTCCAAAGTCCTAGTGCATGAGGCCCTGGGGGAACATATAGATATAAGCCATTACACCTATTATATTTCAGTTCTTGAGGAATGTTAACTGTAAACTTTAAAATTAACTTAGAATAAATACAGCTGAGAGAATAATAATAGGACAATACTTATAGTAATTGGAAATATCAATGGTATATAAATAGTATGTCTGTTAGGAGCTTAGTTTCATTGAAAAATATATATCTATATGTTTGCATATTTAAGAAAATATTGCAAAGTATACTTCTAGCTTTCTTTGGGTGGTAAGAACATGGATGACTTACATGTTTTTCTACTCACCCTCCTGTTTCTCAACATCTAAAAATGGTATATGTTTATTATATCTATAAACATTAAAATGCAATTAAAAGTGAAAATGTCATTATCTCTAGCATCATGTTTTAGAAATGATCCTGACAGGTAGTTAACCAAGTTTGAATCTCGATTAATATATATTTATACTTTTTATTTAAATTAAATTTTCTGAAATTTTAAGTAAGATAGAATATTGTTTTCCAAATCTATAACAGGATTAGTCAAGGAAAAGGTGATCCCAATGGAACCAGTATTGCAAAGAAAATTGTCAAATCCTATTCTAAACCTTGGGTCTTTAGAATATTTCTCTTCTTTCTTGGTCTACAGTACTATTTTCTTAGGAAAAAAAAGAAAAGACTGCTGTGTATTGAAAGGAGAAGAAACTGTATCCAAAGGCAAGAATCAGCTTTGTATTTTATAGATACATTGAGCCATGCAGCTGAATTCTCAGAGGTCTTACGCAATGCTCTCTCACTAGGAATTTGGATGTATGTGCTTCTAGTTAGTTCCTAGAATGGACAATGGAATTAGTTTAAAAGATCTTGGGCCAGGAAGCCATAACCATGAAAACTTAATATGTTGATGTTACTATTTTCATTGACAGCATAAGAAAAGAGGAAGAAAAAAAAGGATTGGAATGAGACTAAAGGAAGGTTCTGACTGTGAATAAGGCGTGACTGTAAATAAGGCATGAAAAATATAGAGGGATGGGGTGGAGATTTAGCTCAGTGGTGCTGCCACCTGTCTTGCAAATGCAAGGTCCTGAGTTCAATCCCCTGTACCAAATATACATATATCTATATCTATATCTATATCTAGCTTCCTAGCTAGCTAACGACAGACAGAGGGACAGATGCAGAGAGACAGAGACAGAGACATAGAGAGGGGTGGTGGTTAGAGGACACGATTTCAAAAGAAGAAGATTGCTTAGCAGTAATTTATGAGGTTGCTCAACTTGGAACATCCTCCTTTTCATAGTCTGAAAGACATTATACCAACATATGCTTCCTCTTTTTACCTGGAGCAAACTGTAGTCACTGTACACACAGAAATTCTTTAGGAATGCCACTTATCCTGGTTAACTGGCTTGCCCAAACTATAAACCCAGGAGAGAGCTTAGTTAAAAATTGATGAGCCATTGAGATTAAAAGAGCAAAACAAACAGCCACAAAACAAATGAATGGTATGTGTCTCTGAGTTAGCCAGTACCAGAACTGTTCACTGCCAATTGCAGTTTGAACAGAATGGATTGTGTACAAAAGACGTGATAGCTCCTTC